ATAGAAAAGAAATGTTAGAAAGGTCATGTGATGCATTGACTATCAGGAATTTCACATTCACAGGCTGCACAGGATGGTTAGTAACAATTAGGGAAAGAAACCCCACTGCCAGGAAAACATGGAAAATTTAAAACGTTAGAGTTGAGGGAAAGTTATTCTGAAGGACCATGATGATAGTCTGAGCTCAGAAGCCACACTCAGGACAACTGAAGTGCTCCCCAGGGATACAGTGTTGGACCCCTCCTCTGTGTGTGTACCCTTCTTAGACCCCCTGCCCATAAAAATATATACGCTTATGATTTCAACCAGATCCTAAGCTGCCATTTCTGGGAGTCTGGCTTGTCATCCCCAGTTGTCACTGCAGCCAGAGAACATCAGTTTGCAGTGTAGTCTTCCCTCAGTTTGTGCTGCCCAGAGAGAGAGGAACTAGTCACATGAGATCGTTGAGCATTAGAAGTATGGCTTGTCTGAATTAAGATAATTACAACTTGAGGGCTACTATGAATAAAAGACTATCAATTATGCTATTAATAATTTTCATGTTAATTACATGTGAAAACATAATTTGAATATATTAAATCAAATAAAACATCTTGAAGATTCATTTGTTTCTTTAATTTGAGCCTTACTTCTTCTTTGGTTTGATTTTGCCATGCTAGGAATTGAGTCTAAGACTCTGAACTTGCCAGGCAAATGCCCAGCTACCAAGCTACGTTCCCTGCCCTGTTTCTTTAGCTTGTAAGGCAGCTATTAGGAAGTGGGAAATTGCGTTCTTTCATGTATTCATGAGGGTAGAGAGGCATGCTGTGGCATACATGTGGAGTAGAAGGAAGCTGCATGAACAAGTCCTCTCCTTCCATCATGCAGGCCTCAGGGGTCACACGCAGGCTTGGTGGCAGCAGCCTTTCCCATCTGAGCCCTCTGTCCTGCAAGCTGGAAGGCAGTTGTATGGCCCCTGTGTCTTCCTGGGCTTACTTCAGTAGCCCTAGTCTATTGGGCCTCCAGTCCATCATCTGTACAGTGATTTTCCTGCAAGTTGGATTTGTCTCGTGGCTTTGACTTTGTAAACAGAACAGTGGGGGTCTGACATAGTTCTGTAAATTACTAGTTATGTTACCTGGACAATGGTGTCTCTAAATTCCAGTTTTAGCATCTCTAAATAAGAATTAAAAAGATTGGAGGGCAATAGTTTTAGGTGACTGATGGTTTGTTCGTAGACTGCCTAGCACAGAGCCTGTCAATCTCCCTGTCAGTCATTTCTGAAACCCTCTACTTTCTGCGATTTGACATCTTTCTGTGTGTACCAGTTTGATTCCAGCCATACTAACCCACTGAACTAACAGCTCAGTTTATGGATCACAAGTTCTGCAAATTCTTTTCCCTACACACATTGGCCTTTCTTGCTTGCTTAGTTTCTAGTTCTCACTTAGAACCAGTTCAGAGGCTACCTTCTGCAGAAACTCTTACTTACCCAGTTTTGAAGTGTTTCCACCACAGTCAGTGTATATTTCCATTTTAAGGACAGAGTAACTGTAGAAAAGGTTTAAATTGCAACTCTTCAACCATGTAACCTTGAACGAGTGTCCTTTCCTCTCTGAAGGTCATTATTCTTTTAGTAAAAGTGAAGACAATAACCTGTGACCTCCAAGAGAGTGTCACACACTTTTGGTGCACTTTAGGGCACTCGAGTATATAAAACAATGCAACGGCTAGCTACCATTGCATGGATACCCTCTATCAGAACTGCTTATTGACTCTTCTGCCTTTCCATCTAGAGTGTAAATGCTGGAAGAAGTAGCATTGTAGATCAGTCAGCCATTGCTAAAGCTAAGCACAGTGTGTTAAAGTTAAGACCTCTAAGTCCTGTACATGGTGGTATTAAACAGAAGAATGCAGTAATAAATGATAAAAGAATAAACTACTTGCAGCTCAGAGAAGGGTTAGACCTGACCACCTAGAGGGATAGGCGTTCAGGGTAAATTAAAATAAATTGTGTTGACAAACGCAGTCAGACTGTGAGAAAATCAAGCAAAGGACATTTAAAAGACTTTGACAGGAAGCCCACTGATTTAACCCATCAATCCCTGGGGAAGGCTTTGTTCCTCCAGGTAGCAACCCTGTGAGTGACAGCTGGCACTTGGAAATCTTCAAGCAAGTGTCTAAACAGGGTAGCATGCCTTTAATGTTTTTTGAGTTCTGGAGATATGAAGCACAGTGTTGAACAGTGTCCAGAAAGAAGAGTTGCACCCTGGCTGCTTCCTCTCCCCCTGTGTTTTCATTACCCCCATTACTCTACAAACCAGGGCTGGTCCTCCAGATGCTTCACACCTCCTGTCTAGTCACCGATCTCTAACTCCAGCTGTTAGGCTGTCTACATCAGGGAGGCCTAGAATGCATGCTGTATTCAGATATTGTTTTCCTTATATATGGTTGATTCGGAAGTCCTGGTGAACACATTGAGCTAAAATGATTACTACAGAAATTCAAATAGCCAACCTCAGATTTATATAAATAATGATATTTTTTAGTGATGGTCCTAGAGCACTGTTCTCAACCTGTGGGTCTCAACCCTTGTGGGGATTGAATGACTCTCTCATAAGAGTCAACCTAAGACCATCAGAATTTACATTACAGTTCATAACAGTAGCAAAATTACAGTTATGAAGTAGCAACAGAGGAATTTTATGGTTGGGGGTCACTACAACATGAGGAACTGTATTAAAGAGTTCCAAAATTAGGAAGGTTGAGAAACACTGTCCAGGAGCTGATGGCAGATTGCAATTATGAATTCTGAATATTCTCTTATTATTTTCTCTGTCAAGTTTCATGTTTCTCTCAAGCTATTTCATAATGATGAAGATTAAATAATTCTCATCTATCACTAATATAAGAAGCCCATTCCATATCAATGAAAAAAATCTCTAATTTTTTAAAATTTAATATATATCAGATCCCCTGGGACGGGAATTACAGCTGACCATGAGCTGCCATGATGGTGCTCTTAACTGCTGAGTCATCTCTCCAGCCCTTCCCCCAATCTAAATTTTATGCTGTTCCTTTTAATTAGAAATACAATAAGAAGAAATTTATATAACATCCTCTGTACCAGGGAGAAGGGAGTCATATATACCAGTTTTGTAGCTACCAAAAAGGGTAGAAATTCACAAGAAATTAATAGTGATAATAATTTCACTAATAATAATAAGGTAATACCTCATGCGTATGATGTGCCAAGCAGTATTATGAGATTAATTTTAGGACTTCTGATCTTAAGAATACTTCTGCTTATGAAATTGTGTTACATTCAGTTATCCATTCAACCAGTACTTATAAGTACTACATACAGTAAATGAACATACCAAAAATTGGATACAAGCTGATGACTTCCTTCTAATATCAAAGACGCTTTATGAGACTTTTGTGGCACAGTAATCAAGAAAGGATTCCAATTTCCTGCTAAGATTTACAATACAATGAATGACACTGTAAATCCTCATTAGAAATTCCTTTCTGCTTCTTTGAAAAATTCTAGAGATAATTGTATTGCTGATCTTCTAGTGTGGGCACAGCTGGAGAGGCTGGCATGGCACCCTTTGCTCTAGACAGTAGAACCAATAAGAAGTCCTGAGATTCATTTGCCATGTTTATACTTCTGTGTTTCTGCTTCTTGCCCTCAGGGGCTGCTCAGCTCTCTCCACACTGTCTTCCTGTCTGGATGGGAGTTGCTGTCCCCTCCCTGAAAGCATAAACCAGCAAGAGGGTAACAGTGTCTGCCGAGCAGAGGGCAGAGTGCCCTTTCTAGAGCTAGCCTTTGTCACCTGGAATGGGAAGGTCTTTGAAAACATTCTCTCTGCATCTCATAAAGCTCTCATGTGGTTTGAGGACCAGATGGGGGGTGGGGGGAGATAGATCTTTCTTCCTGCATGTTAGATGTGTAATAATTGTAGGTGGACATGTTACAGTGTAGAGCATTATAAATGTTACTGAACATATCCCAAGTCAAATACTTTCAGTTTCTACTAGAGAGACATGAAAAATATACTTTGATCCTGTCTTACATTTTTTTTTGGTTTGTTTGTTTGTTTGTTTGTTTTTTGAGACAGGGTTTCTCTGTGTAGCTTTGCGCCTTTCCTAGAACTCACTTGGTAGCCCAGGCTGGCCTTGAACTCACAGAGATCCGCCTGGCTCTGCCTCCCAATTGCTGGGATTAAAGGCGTGCGCCACCACCGCCCGGCTACCTGTCTTACATTTTTATTAACCACCTCATTTTATAGTGATAAACTATAACTGATATAAGATTAAATTCTTTTCAAGGTTAATGTAAGTCAGTATCCAAAACTTACTTGTATTAGAATCTGTGTATATTCCTTAGTCATATGTAGATTTCATTTGATTCCATTATTTTTAGCATAGTGGAATGTAAAATGTAAGTTTGCTTGAGAATAGTGATTTAAAACACTTATACTGACCATAATGCAAGCTGTCTATTTGTGAGACACATTTCCATTTTAGAGATGTAGATTTTTAGTTTATTGTGTAAGTGTATGTTACTTTATTTTTAACACTTGAAATTGCTCTTGTATTGGGCCTATTGGACTTCAATATCTTATCTATAACTATTGGTAATACCATATCCCATTATTAAGGCCTGTTATCAGACTGCTTCTGCACTATCAGTTTCTAGATACTCTCATTTAATTGTCACAGTGGCTAATTGAGGTCAGTGCTGTTATCGTCATTTTATTCATGAGGTAATTGAAACTTTGGGAGAGTTAAGGAATTTCCCGCCACTACAAGTTACTGAAAGAACTAAGGTTTATTCTCAAGCCTTTCTGGCTCTGTGTCTTTGGAAGCTTGTCAGTATCCAGTATACCATGACTGCCTATGCAGTGACAATTTGAGCCAAGTAACAATAACTATCATGCATTTCCTTATCGGAGCAAGAAACCAACTTGTACTGCTCAGTTCTCAGACTGAGAATGCATTCTGTGTCCCTGCAGGGCTGAGTGTAGCAACTGTGAGACTGGAGAGCAGTGTGGCACGATCATGCATGGCAATGCTGTCACCTTCTGCGAGCCATATGGTCCCCGAGAGTTGGTAAGTATGTGCTAGTGAACCAGCCATTTCATTGCGGTGCTTACTCTGCTTTTTGTCAACAAAAGCTTCTCTTATGTTCTAGGAGTTCAGATGAAAATTTGAAGTATTATTTGTACTATTATCGATGTCTCAAAATTGGGAGAGGTAGTTTTATGCTCATTTTCAAATATAAAAATGAGGGTTCTGTGATAAAAACTGGCAGCATCAATATGTCTCACTCAACTTGATTGGTTACTATAATTAGATGAATTAAAATACAGATATGATTGTGTATATCACATGTACATAATACATGTCATAGATAAGCAAATTGTGACTAAGTTCTTATATAAAGACTTGCTCTTACTATTATTATTTTCTCTTTGCAAGTCAAGAGTTTCTTATGACATTACTTTAAAACTTTGGTTCCTAACAATAGATGAACTTTGATGGATTTCTTTTTAAAGAATTCGCTGAATAACTGAGTTTGTTTTTAATGTCATTCATGCCAAACGACACCAGAGTAGGCTACTGTCAATTACAGTGTTAGCCATTGCTTGAGAAGGTAAATTCTGGAACTATATGTGCAATGAGCATTCTAAATCAAAAACAGAGCAACCACTGTCCATCATTATCCGGCTCGTGGACCTTTTATTTTGACTAGGTCCTCCTTTCTGACATGATGACTGCTTTCATTTTACATCCCTGAAAAGGATATCAAAGCATTATTATATCAGGTCCTGGCTCAGTCACTCTGCCGTGTTCTGACATGTTCCTTGTGCTCCCTGGTGCCTGGCCGCTCTGCTCCCTGGTGCCTGGCCGCTCTGCTCCCTGGTGCCTGGCCGCTCTGCCCCCTGGTGCCTGGCCACTACTCCCTGGTGCCTGGCCACTGCTCCCTGGTGCCTGGCCACTGCTCCCTAACAGCCCCTTCTCCTTTTCCTCCTACAGCTTCCTTTTCACTCTGTGTCATTTCAAAGTCACTAACTTTAAGAGTTGCCAAAAAGATTAGCTTCCATAGTAAAGAGGGAGAAAAGCCCTGTGTATATAAGCAACTAAAAGATTTAGTTATCATGATGTGGAACCCAATTAACTTTGCAGCATGTTCTTACTTCATTCTGCTTGAATACCCTTCTTGTGGTAATACATATATTTAACCTATTAAGGATATGAGCTTCAGAACATTGATAAATGGAGTTTCCAGTTGAAACTAGATCACAAACAGAATTAATTAGATGTAAATTAAAATAATAGGTACTTATAATTCAAGTCTCACAAGGTGTTATAATACCTGCAGACAAATGTGACTCTGGTAGTGAAATTCTCTCTGAAAAAATAAATTTGCCAGTATACTTTAAATAATATACCATGATTGAATTAATTATCTATAAACCTTAAAATAAAATTAATTTATCATAGTTAATAGAGCTGAGAATAACTGCCTATTTGAGGAGATGCTCCATTCAGTAATATTTCTGAAAATATTGGCAATGGGAAATAAAAGTATCTTGTATTATAATGCCAGAATTCATATTTCTGTAAATTCCTATATTGAGTAAAAACTGAAATATCTAGTTTATTTGATCAGACATGAATTTAATCCTGATTGTTTCTCTATAGAGAACTGTTGGTTAGTTTTGAGTTGTATATGTGAGATTAATCTTCACTCACATAATAACCTTGTAATCTCAGCACAAGGCAGAGAGGCAGAGGGATGGTGAGGCCTGCCTGTCTCAAAATGTCTAATAAGATAGAAGAGTGGTTTGTAGCTTTGTATTCCCATCCTAAGTATTTTCTGAAAATGAACATGTTCTGCAGGTTCAAAGCAATAGAATTGACAGTAACAACTTCTATTTAATTTTCAGTAAGATTTACACTGCTTTAGTCTCCTCAAGGCCAAAGTATGTGTAGTATCCATGTCATGCTCATAAAAAGCAGTCCAATCAAATGAAAAGTGAGAGATTCAGTTGTCAGTATCGTATTTACTAAAATTCAAACGTTTTCATGGAACTCCAAAACTGAATCCAGTCGAAGCTGTTGTACATGAGGACTGATATGAACCCTGAAACACTGCTTATTAAATGATGGACCTGCTTGTTTTTCATAATCCAGTTCCTATGGATTCATGAAATGAAGAACCACAAGCCAAGGTCTTGGTCGGTTAAGGCTTTTGCTTTGGATCTAATGAAAAAGCCGCCTGTGTCCCCAAAGTCCTGGTATGGGCTCTAGGTCTGAGGTCCCAGGGCTGGTCAGGCTGCCCTACCCAAGAAGGAACCCAGCAGCAGACACATAGGTGGTGGAGAACCAGGGAAGGCATTTGCTTCAATGTGACTAACACAGGCTAGATGTCCAGGGTCCTAAGAACTGCCTTCTGGGGCTCCAGGACCCTATAGGAGATGATGGCAGGGTGTGGCCAACATAGTCAGGTCATCTTGATCTCAGGTCTGGTGGTGTGGGTTCTGCTGGCACTGAGGGAGCTGCAATGTCTTCCTGGGGCCATTTTGATCCTGTTATAAAATGTTTGCCTGCAAAGGTCCTTGCTCCTGGTATTTGAGATAAGATAGAAATAAATTTAGAACTGAACAAACAAAAACAATCCAAAGGAGCAAAATGGAGTTGTTGGGATGGTGAGTGTGGCCTCCTTCAGAAGGCTGAAAGGAGAGAGCAAAAGACAGTACAAACGGACCCACTCGTAAACCTGCATTCTTCAGACTTAAATTGTCATGTCATCAACACCCAGGGTCACTTGGAAATGGTGTCTGTGATCATCTCTGCATTCCGAGAACCTCTGTTTCCATCACTGAGTTCTGTGGCATCCTCAGACACTAGGTTAACTATTCAAGTCTCAGGTTTTAGGTGGTGATGCTGAACTTCATTTATTTCGCTAATGTAAATGAAGATAAAGAGAAGTGTATTCTCAGAACTTGGAATGAGTTATGTTGCTCACTTTTTTGAAGTACATATTTGCTCGCAGTGCTGTGGGATCTGAAACAGGCCCTCACACATGCTGGGCAAGCACTCTAATGCTAGCTGCGTCTCATTCCTACTGTGTCTTTCTAAAAAGATTTTTCCTCACACAGCTGAAATGTGTTTTAATAACAGTGGTAAGCTGGCCTAAAAGACTATTAAATTCAGAAAGATGGAGGGCATAATAAACAGCCTTAGCCTACGGTGGATTATCAAGGTTTGTTTAAATTGTCAATCTGTTTGCTATAGTTTGAAACATACTTAGTTGTTTAAGAGCACTGAGATTTGGTGAAAAAAATCCCAGAACACATTCATAATTACTATATTATTTATCTAAACCCCATAGGAAGCCCTTTTGTTTCCATAATGTTAGACATAAAGGCTTAATAATGTAAAATTACACATTTGAAATTACTATTAATAACTTATAAAACCCAAATCACAAATACAGATGAGTGGATTTTATCTTTTTTCCTTATTTTCATCTGTCCCAATATTTTTTGTGTACTATAGTATTTGTGTGAGAGCTCGTGTGTGTGTGTGTGTGTGTGTGTGTGTGTGTGTGTGTGTGTAGGCCAGAGGTCCTCAATTGTTCTCCACCTTATTTTTGGAGACATGGTCTCTCGCTGATCTGGGAGCTCACCAATTCAGGTAAAATGACTGGCTGGCAAGCTCTAGGGATCTACTTGTCTCTGCCCTGCCCCTCCCCCAGCTTCTGGGTTATACAGCTAGCCCCTTCATGCTGACGCTCTTAGACGGGTCTGGGGGATCTGAACTTGGGTCCTCACGCTGCGCAGCAGACACTTGATTAACCTGGCTTATGTCCAAGGCCCTCCTATTGTTTTTGCAGCTGAAAGTTTTACTGATGTTAGGGGTACACAGTAATGAAATCAGCATCAAACGTCACAGGAGTCCTCAGCCTTCCCTGTGAAGGAAAGAATATAGAATCAATGACTATTCGAAAGCCAGGGTCGACTCATTAGCCCTTGAAACTTGGCAGTGTTTCAAGCAGTAACTTGCTACTCAGTAGCAGAGGTCACAGCTGTGTGACTTGGTCAGACAGGTGACCCATCATCATTTATTATGTCACCAGGACAAGTATTAGGATTCTCTAGGATGCTCTGGGCACTAGCAGTGGCAATAACCATCATTTATATATAATATAATCATTTTCATTTACATAATATCACTATTTCAAGGAAACGGTTTCATGATTCATCTGGGAATCTATTCAGTTACATGAAATCATTCAATTTATGTGAAATTAAAAGAAAATTTCTCTGTTGGTAGTGTACCTCTTTAGATTTTAATATGAAATTATCCAGGTGGAAACCCATGAGGGCAGATAGTTAAACATACTTTAAAAGCTATAGGGGGAAAGCAGATTTCTTTTCTAAGTACTTTATTGTTCATATTTCTCTGATATCTCTGCTGGGAGGAAGGAGACAGGAGCCTGAGGTCTGGACATGACAGGCAGACTCACATTAAAGACGGCTAGAATTCCCTGCGTCAGTCCACCCAGTGGTTCGTGTTTGGCATTCAGTAGGAGCTCGCACTGGCTCTGGCTGGAGGCATTATGTAATTTCCCTTGCCAGCCCCTCTTACCTTTGCCGCCTACCCACCGGATTTTACAGTCACGTGTTTAAAGAGGTGTTGGAAGGTATCGGGTCGTAGAAGAAGGGACAGCAAGGCAGCACACTGGGCCTGCATACTGAGCAAGCCTTCACACACTTGCTGTTGCGAGAGTGAAGGCTTGTGAGGCATCCATACCTCAGTGTCCAGTGTTCGGGAGCTCAGCAAAATGAGAACTTAGAGTGCATCTCATTAGAGCTGTGTGCCTGCTCCAAAGAATAAATACATAAATAACTTTATACATAATCATACGTGTGTCACTCCTCTTTCCATAGTGGAGAAGTTTGTCAGTGAGTTCTTTGTGACACCACAATTAAACAGAAATGTGTCGGAGGCTCTTCCCAGGCCCTTATTCATAATATGACCCCCTCCCCTCCTTCCCTCTCACTTCCTCTCTTCCCTCTACCTCTCCCCTCCCTCTTTAATCTTAAGAAATATTCATAGGTTGTACAATTCTTTTACAAAGTTGTAAAATCATTACCATAATCAGTTTTAGAATATCTTATTATCTCCCTCTCAAAGATTATGGCATTTAAATTAGCTATTTTAGTTCTGTTGACTTAAAAAACTTTTGGTTGCATGTATCTGCTTTGTGTGTATAGGAACAGGGTATGGGGGTGCCACAGTATACATGTAAAGTCAAAGGACACCTTGCTACAATCAGTTCCATCAGCCAGGTCCCTGGGCCTGAACTCAGCTCAAATGATCAAGTGTCTTTAACCACTGAAGCATATCACTGCCCCTCTGGTTACTCTTAAAAATCATCTTTTTCTAGTCTTTTACTCTTAATTTATGTCTCATTTTTGTTTGGTCACCTTTTTATGAGACTCTTTGGCTCCCAGGCTGGTGGTGAGGTAGAGGGAGGTGATGGGCTGCATGTAGTTCTTTCAAAAGCCATTGCATGGTGACCTGGAAAGTTGCTTCAATGGCACCCTGAGAATCTTACTATCCAAGCTCAAGTTGGGGTCTCTCACTAAGAAATCTGTCTATGCTGCTGGCATACTGGTGAGCTTGAGGAGCAGCCGGGAAAGGGAAACCTTTGCGGCTGGATCTTTCTTGCTCTCTTGCTCCCAAAGCCTTTCTCCCCCCCAAGCTTGTCTTCCTCTCACATTCCTTGTCTGATTTTTGTGTTTTCTTTCTAGACCACCACATGCCTAAACACAACAACAGCATCTGTCCTGCAGTTTTCCATTGGTAAGTGTCTCTCAGCAATTGTAGCATTTTACATAGAAATATACAACTGGCCCAGGCACTCTTAGGATTGGAAAGAGTAAGTCTTTGTAGCAAATAATTTAAAAAGTGAAATTTAATATCTTAGGATATTACACTTCATTCTCATTCTGTGCCAGGAGTGAATGGTATTAAAAGTACTGCAGATAATCTATAACATTTTAAAGACTTTATTACATTCCATTTATTTATGGTGTATATATACATGTGTGTAAACCTATCCACAGATGGATGTGGTTCACAGCTTACATATGGAGGTCAGAAGACAACTTGATGGAGTTGATTTTCTTTTTTCACCATGTGGATTTTGGTGATCAAACTCAATTTTCAGGATTGGCAGCATCACCTTTACCCCCGAGTGGACTTCACAGCCCTGAAATATTTTTATAAAAGATTACATATGGATTTTGAATGTATTGGGTTACTTTATTGTGGCAGAAATGCCTTCCTTGTCATGTCTGCTCAGATTAAGATAAACAAACATGTGCTCAATTTTCTGAGCTCTGATGGGTAGTAGAAGAGATATTATTAGTGGCTGAAGGAAGCTAAGATTTTATGTTTGACATAAATAACCTAAGTTTAATTTTGGTGTAATTAATGAAAAAAATTACTGTATCTGAAAATATTTCTTCTAAGGGCTTCTTATGAAAAGTGAAAGTTCCTACCCAAAATATTCAGTAACAATCTGCCTTTTAATGAAATGATAGCACTTTTGCTATCTATTCCATTCTTTTTAAAATTTTATAAATATGTGCATGTATATATACACATGTGTGTGAATCAATAAGCAACATGCATACATTTCCAAAGAAAATGCTCTAGAGAAAGAAAGAGTCTGCCTTCTCAATAAGACCCTGGTTTATCTCTGATCTGCTGCAGAGTTTGCTGACATCTGATAGCCATAGGCAGTGTTCTTTAGTCTCCACCATCTGGACTGTCCATCTTTGGAGATCAGACTCTGGCAGAAGGACCCTCTTCCTCAGCAGCTCCCATTCCACAGTGCATGGCCATGTCGACAGCCAGGAGCCCACTGTGGTTGACTTTCTAGTATACACGTGTTACTCTTCCATTGGCCAGCCTCATTTCAGCTTGTGTAGGTGTACGAGAGTGCCTCATTAGAGTTTGGATTACTTCTCACATTAATAGTATAGCCCACAACATTCTACAGACAAATTAAAAGCACATATTTATTTTAAAAAATGCTAGTGAAGATGAGAAATAGTGAGTTTTTAACTTTTTTTTCAATCTGTTAGCATGCCCATCCTAAGTTTCATTATCAAAATGAAATATAGTTCTTTTTATAGTTGTAGTTTGACAATAACAAATTTTTTAAACTATAGCCTGGCAGGTATCTTCATGAATCTTAACTAAAATTAATGTATTCTATTTATTAAACCATTAAAAAGTCAAAATAAAAAGAAATTACAGTTTCTGGTTTATCTGTATTGGGGGTATATTAGTCAGAGTTCTGTAGAGTCACAGAACTTATAGAATGAGTATATATATATATATATATATATATATATATATATATATATACACACACACACACATACATGCATATGGGGAATTTATTGGAATGACTCAAAGGCTGTAGTCCTGCTAATCCAACAATGGCTTGCTGTGAATGGAAAGTTTAAGAATCCAGAATTTGCTCAGTCCCAACAGGCTAGGTGTCTCATCTGGTCTTCTGTATATGCTGAAGAAGTAGGCTCTAATGCCAGTGAAGGAATGGATGTGCTACCGAGTGAGGACAAGCAGGCAAAAAAAAGAGCCCTTCCTTCTTCCCTTGTCTTTATATAGGCTTCTAGCAGAAGGTGTGGTCCACATTAAGGGTGTGCCTTTCACCTCAAGATCTGAATCAAAGGTGTGTGTCTTTCAGCCTTAAGGCCCAGATCAAAGGCATATATCTTTTCCTCTCCAAGGTCCTGATAAAGGTGAATTCACTTCAAACCAAGCAGAACATCCCTCACAGGTATACCCTACCAGGTAGTTCATTCCAGATATAGTCAAGTTGACACCCAAGAATAGCCATCACATCGAGTATTCTTTTTGTTAAAAATAAACATGAATTTCAAATATTATGTTCAGGCAATGAAGGACCACAAAGGAATCCATAATTCCACTAGATTTTTCATTTTAATCAAGGGAGAAGAGATCTAGTATCAATTAAATTATTCTTTATTATAGGAAGGAAAAAAGTACTTTTATGAATAACAGACATGAATTGATTCTCTATTTCCTTCACTTTTCAGTCAGACCAACAGCTTTGCAGTATCAGTCTAGTAGAACTGATGAAAAGGATCAAGCAGGGAGAGTTAGGGAGTTGGCTAGAGAGTGCAAGGTTTAGTACATGACATTCAGAACACAGGATAACTCCAGGCCAAGGTCTTTGGGTTAGACATAGCATCTGACTTCGCCCAGACTTTGATTTTCCTACATGTTCACCAAGTAGCTTGTATAATTTAGAGCAAAGATTTGAATCCTGGCTCTGATATTAAATGATACAGAGTAACAGAACTGAAGAGAAATGGGTCTGTGAAAAAGAAAGAGAGATTCAAGTTTATAACCTACAAAGTATGTTTTTAAAATCTTTCTGGGTGAAGGTTTTAAAATAAAAAATGAAATTGTAATGTCGCATTGGGGATGAAACAATATATTTAGTTAGAGAAATTTTAACTTATTACTTAGAAACTTCATTGGGAAATTTATTTACCACATGTTGAGGCTAGAAGTTTTCAGGTGTAAAGAAGGGTTAAAACAATGTAATAACAAACCAATACCTACATTGTGTATGATGTTATATGGTAAATATAAACATTATATGCTGTGGATATCACTCTATATAAATAAAACACTGATGGCCAGTGACCAGACAGGAAGTATAGGCAGGACAAGGAGAGAGGAGAATTGGGGAAACAGGAAGAAGGAAGGGGAGACACTGCAGCCACCGCCAGGACAAGCAACATGTAAAGACGCCAGTAAGCCACGAGCCATGTGGCAAGGTATAGATTTATAGAAATCTGTTAATTTAAGATATAAGAGGAGTTAGCAAAAAGCCTGCCACAGCCATACAGTTTATAAGTAATATAAGCGTCTGAGTGATTATTTTATACTTGGATTGTGGGACTGCGGGGCTTGGTGGAACCTGGAGAGAAGCTCTCCAGCAACAATTATAGTTGGAATGATTTCCAGAAATGGCTTTATGTATCTCATGAGCATTCATTTATATGGATGTTTATGAGGTAGAAGGCAGTGGCACCATTCTGTTGACAGGGATGCATGAGGGCTGCACCTAAGCATGAACATAAATCCTAAATGTGTCATAAATGTGTGGATTCATTTCTAACTTTACAAGCCCATAGTAATGAAATATCACAACAGCAACTGAAGTTTAATAACTATTTCATCAATACCCACCTCCAAAGTTATGCAGAGTCAGTTGTGCATTGTGAGTCCAGCATTTGCATTTCTTTATATATCTTGGTATTCTCCAAATCCACACTATTAATGTACTTATAGTCAGTTTCAATGCCACTACTTCAGAAGGCACATCGCATGTTCAGTGTTTATTGTATAGAATCATTCAGATTATATATAGGTAATTTATAAAGAATTTCATTATTATTTATGAGCTCAATGATGAATTATATTCATAATTAGCAATGTTTTATATTGTCCTTGTAAACATTTCCAGTTATGTTACAAATATAATCCAAAGGAGTCCCAAGTGCCTTGGAGACCTGTATACAGAAATTGCTTACATTACTAAGGAGTGTCTTATTAAAGTTCCTTCAAATATGTGTAATGTGGATAAATATTACAGGCATACTTAAAATGGTATATTTATATTATTCATGTATCTTCATGCATATAAATAAATATATGCACATAAATAAATAGATATGCAAACACTCTTAAATAGAAGATTTTGAGCATTAAGAGCATTCTGAAAGCCAGTTTTACAAGCTAAAATTTCTTACATTATCAGTAGCTAAGCCATTTTAAAAAGTGTCCTGAAATACTCTAAGAACTTTTCATTTTTCCATTCCAATGAAAGATCTTGTTTCCATTTCTGTGCTGAGGCATCGATTTGCTGCAGACCTCACTTGATTCATTAGATTCCACTTGTGGAATTTATGGTTATCGCCTTAGGGGCATTTACCCATTTCCCTTAGATTTCCTCTGGGATGGGAAGAGAAATTTGAGCTGATGCCCTTGCGAACCATTATCGTACAGATTTCTCCAAACTGTGTTCCCAGACAGAATTCTGCTTCCGAGGGAAATGCTGGTGGTTCTTTGTATCTGTCGTTCATTTAACAGAGTTTTACTGAGTATTTGCTCCTTGTTGTCTTGAGCTAACTTTAGTTATAGTAAAAGAAAAAGTGAGGAGACAGTATTTTTACAGGAGTCAGCTAGTGTAGTGGGAGGCACTTGATTTGCAACAAGAGCTCTCCAATGCCAGATTGTTACAGTAGTGGGTGACAATTCCAGGTTGTTACAGTAGTAAGTGTGTACAGATTCAGGATCGGGGCACAGTCAGTCCTTTTGGTGGTTTAATTCAAAGGCAGAGGTTGCGGGGAGCTTTCTAACTAGAAAAATCCTAAGAGTCAACAACCAGAGTCCCCTACCAGGTCAGAAGAAAGCACAATAGGCGATGAGTTGAACACAGGCAAGGAGAGAAACTAGAGTGCCCTCCTAAAGCAGGACTGGCCTGGGCAGATGTGAGCAAAGACAGGTAAATTTGGGTATAACCAAAGAGCTAGTTCATCTACACTGCAGATTTTAATGTTTATTAGAGGGCTAACCGAGAATTTTTAGTCAGTTAATTTAATTTATTTAAAATGACATAATTCCAGCACTTGGGAGGCTAAGGCATGAGGATTGAGAGTTCAGGGCAGGCTGACACACGGAGCAAATTCAAGGCCAGCCTGTGCTACATAGTCAGATCCTGTCTCAAGAAA